TCGCAGATTGAGACGGATTGCCATAGAAAGGGCGACTTATTCTTTTACACTCGGGCCGGTTCCCTGAACCTACTTGTGGAAAGAAACTAAGACATGATGTTCTACAAAGTACAAGGACACGAAAGAGCTTCTACATTTACAATAACTGTGGAATTAATTATTGAAAGCACCACTCATTTTAACCCCTTCAGGACCGGCCTGTTTTGGCCATGTTGTACGTTAAGGACCGGCCTGTTTTGGCCATATTGTACGTTAAGGACCGGCCTGTTTTGGCCATGTTGTACGTTAAGGACCGGCCTGTTTTGGCCATGTTGTACGTTAAGGACCGGCCTGTTTTGGCCATATTGTACGTTAAGGACCGGCCTGTTTTGGCCATGTTGTACGTTAAGGACCGGCCTGTTTTGGCCATGTTGTACGTTAAGGACCGGCCTGTTTTGGCCATGTTGTACGTTAAGGACTCGGGCGATTTTGGCCATGTTGTACGTTAAGGGCCGGCCTGTTTTGGCCATGTTGTACGTTAAGGACCGGCCTGTTTTGGCCATGTTGTACGTTAAGGACCGGCCTGTTTTGGCCATGTTGTACGTTAAGGACCAGAGCGGTTTTAACACTTTTGTGGTGTTTGTGTTTAGCTGTAATTTTCCTCTCTCTCATTTACGCTTCCCATACAAATGATATTTTTTTTTTTTTCAGGACAAGAAGGGCTTTCTTTACATACTATTATTTGTATCATGTCATATCATTTACTTAAAAAAAAAAAAAAATATGGTGAGAAATTGTTTTTGGACTTTTACTTGAAAAATCTTTTACTTAAAAGCTAATGAAAAAACTGCTAAATATATTCAAAATTTTGCCCTGAGTTGAAAAACACCCAGTGTTTACGTGCTTTTTTGCTTTTTTTTGTTGTTGCAAGTTATAGGCAAAAATTGCTGTTTGAAAATATATATTTTTTCCATTTATCAATAGTGACATTGTAACACTGTTTTTCTGTCATAAATCTCCTAATCACACCTCACATGCACATATTTTTTTTTTTTAAAGTAGACAACCCAGGGTATTCAATATGGGATATGTCCAGTCTTTTTTAGTAGCCACTTACTCACAAACACTGGCCAAAGTTAGCATTTATATTTGTGTGTTAAAAATACAAAAAAACAATTATGAACGCTAACTTTGGCCAGTGTTTGTGACTAAGTGGCTACGAAAAAAGGCTGAACATACCCCATTTGCAATACTTTGGGTTGTCTTCTTTAGCAAATGGTATGCCATCATGGGGGTAATACTCTTTCCTGGGCTACCATAAACTCTCAAAGGCAACATAACCTGGCAAATTTCAATGTAAAAAAAAGAAAATCAAGCCTTATATGTGACCCTGTAACTTTAAAAAACACTATAAAACCTGTACATGGGGCTACACTGTTATACTCAGGAAACTTCGCTGAACACAAATATTAGTCTTTCAAAACAGTAAAATGTATCACAGCGATATCATCAGTAAAAGTGCTGTTTGTATGTGAAAAACATCACTTTAACTGACAATATCATCGCTGTGATATATTTTACTGTTTTGAATCAATATTTGTGTTCAGCGAAGTCTCCCGAGTAAAACAGTACCCCCCATGTACAGGTTTTAGGGTGTCATAGAAAATTACAGGGTAAAATACAGTGCTAGCAAATTAAATTCTCTGGACTTTCGGCCTGGGTTTTTAAGCAGGTCCCTCAAATTGTAATTAATAAAATTACTTAATTATGTAAAAATATTACATAAATACGCACGTAGAATTTAAATATATATGCATATTTACGTATTTGAAGTCTGTGTATATTTATGAAATTATTTATGTAATTTTGTATATGGATATATATATTTTCATTTCATTCTAAGTGTATTTTTATATAAGTATATATATTAATATCAAAATACCGTTATTTTTAAATGTTTTCATTTATTTTTATTTACTTGTTTATATTTTATAATATATACCCAATATATATATAGTTAATATGTGTATATTAATATAAAAATACACTTAGTATGATATTATATATTTATAAGATATATAGATATATTCATGAACTGTTTTTATTTTTTTTACACATGCAGAGAGACTGCCTGTCCGCACAGACAGTCCCCTGCAGACAGATACTTGGACGCCTATTGGGGCCATGTGACCGCGCTGTTAGAGTGATCACATGGCCGCGGGGGCCTAATTCGCAAGGGGGGACTGTCTGGGCTGTCAGGCAGTCCCCCCACACCGGGAGCAACGCATCGGGGGTACGGCGGCGATCAGGTAAGTACATAATACCATTATGACGGTTCAGGACAGTCACCGGTCCTCAAAGGGGATGTTAAGGGGTTATAATGTGCTGGAGGGTTTGTTGTTTAAACAAGAAAAAACTTTTTTTTTTTTCTTCTTAAAGTTTATTTTTCTTGAAATCCCCAAATGCCCCGTTGCTTATAGAGAGGGAAAATGGTTTCCAAGGAGAAACCTAACTGGACCCTTCTATATATGCAATTAATAATTTTATAACATGACAGGAGGCTTCATATTTGCATAATCTCTCTTTACTAAACACCAGCAGCAACCAATTTAACAATAAAGTTTAGTGAAAACAACATTGCAACAGGGTATAAAAGGCCCCTCCCCCTGAATCTCTTCCTCTTTCTTTGCTGCTCCTGCTGGCATAGCTCAGATTATTTTGTTCATTCATATCTGATTACTATAGCATTGCTTAATATTGTCTATAACTGATACTGTTTATAGCTTTTTTTTGTATGTGTATTCCCTTCCCTTCCACCCCTGGATATTGTTTATCCTTCTCCCACCCTACCTCTGGTTTTTCTATTTATCCTGGGCCGCCACGGCTAGCCCTTAGACCTGATCCATTTGCGGACGCGTTGCGGCTGCCATTGCTGCTATTGCAGCGTTTTTTGTTTCTTCCCAGTGATTTAAGTGTCTAGGTGGGTGCTGAGGGCGGTGGGGATACGGGCCGCACTAATTTTTTGGGCGGATGAGACCACAATTTCGCAGTCTCCCTGTCTGTTATTTTGGCACGAATGGCGGCCATCTTGGATCTCACGAGATCCTCGGCGACCATTTTAGGCTGATCAGAGCGTGATTCACACAATCTGATCCATTCTTATTATGGTCTTTCTCCTATATTAATCTATCCATACCTGTTATGTTATATCAGTACTTGATCACTATCCATATGTCTGTTATATAAGTGTTGATTGCACATCAAGGTCCTACTGGCTTGACCTGTAACCCACACAGTAACACACTAATCTGGCATAGGACACTACAGAAATACAAACCTTAACATAACTGGATACTAGTTCGCTACTACGATATTGGAATTGTAAGGGGTAAACCATACCATATGACCATATGACACCTTAACATGGCTACCTCCCTGTGGCTATATTACATTAACGATGACCCCCCTTACTATTACTGGGGTGACCCACAAGTACTGGAGTACCTATATCTGTATGTCAAAACTGTACAAGTTACTTGGTGTTGCAGAGTTACAGCCCTGCTGTATAACTGGGGTGAACCCCACATTCACGCGCCCTTACCGTTTGGCGAGCTGCTTTCATTGAGACCCCTTCCATTGGTACCCATCCCATCCTACAGGACAATACAGGGGTGACCCCTCTATTGAATTATGAGAACGTCAGTGTCTCCAATACTACCAAGGGAAACCCCCTTGTGTAAATAAACGACCACTGGCACCGGTCTTTAGAGGGTGACCCCCTCTCATTTGGCACTCCAACCACTTTGTGCACAAATTCTGGGTGACCCCCAGTTGTACTAGAAGCCAGATACTGTTACAACATTACAACATTACGTGGTGCACACATGTTTATTACAAGTATCCCGTTCTGCCATTACAGGAACACTGTGGCAAGATGTTTGACAAATCACAGACACTGACTTGAGACTTCCAAAGCATGATAAATGCTGCCATAGCAGCATCAGTGGAGAAGGCGCTTTACAGAGTGTGCACCCTCCCACCCGAGAACACAGGAAATATCCCATCCGACAACCATGATGTGGAGGGAGCAGAGGGTTCTGAGACACCCAGAGTACCCATGTCTGTTCCTAAACGGCACCGGAAGGACTCCAGCTTCGTAACCAGGAAATCCAAAGAGAAGGCTCCTCTCAAGAGACCTAAATGTGTAGAATCACACAACGTACTCCCACCTCCACTTCCATCCTCCGAGGAAGGCTCTTACCCGAATTCTACCCACTATGGCGATTGTGGACGAATGGCGAGCAGACAGCTCGACCTCTGATGACAACTGGCATGGTATGCCGCGTACAGAATTACGTTACGTCAAAGAATATGTAGTAAAGCCTTCACTACGTAAAAAAGAGTAGCCACAAACTTATGAACACTGATAAAGACGTGTTCATTGATACCCAGGATTTGACCCACGGGCGGTACAACACCCAAGATCTTGCGAATAGGTGTCTTCCAGACCATCTTGCACAATATGTGCATTTTTGGCTAAGAAAACCTTTGGAGAAGGAGGTGCGCGCACGCCTTCACGCAGAATTTCCTTGTACGATCCACCCGGAAAAACTAAGTGTCACCCCGGAGTTTGATACCACAATAGTGGTCTTCATGGCACAGATGAGACGAGACCATCGTAAGGGGATATAAAAAGGGCTGAAGGCTACACAGGTAAAACTCCTGTACATGTTGGGTCCACTGGCAAAGATCCTATACTATGCAGATCTCGCTCTCTCACGCAACACCCCACTGGATCCAAACGATATTCGAGAATGGGCTCAGAGAGCCATCTGTATGCTGGGTAACACAAATGCGGCTCTATGCACTGAACAACATAAGGTCGCTCTTCTGAAACTCGACAACAAGCTCTTGGATCTGGGGAAGAAGAAACTGGAACGATTGGCAAATGGCTTATTATTTGGTGAACCTTTCATCGCTGAAATTAAAAAGCATATGAACCTCTTCACCACTCTCAAAAAGCCCATTCAAGTCATTGAGACAAGTGTTTTGCCCTAAGCTTGGCAGGGGTCCCCCTCCATTGCGTTTGGCAGCAACTCACATGTCGCTCATAGACTAAGAGATCCATGCCCGGTTCGCCAAAGGAGCAGCCCAAGTGGCTCCGGACACAACAGGTTTTCTTCAGCAATAAATTCATGGTCAAGGAAAAGACAGGAGACTCCTGCCCAGTCATCGATTTACTTCACCTGAACGACTTTGTAGTATAGCGCTATTTCAGAATGGAAGGTATTCATCTGTTAAGAGATCTCCTACTGGCCAACGACTGGTTCACCTGTCTAGATTTGAAGGATGCCTTTCTCTCCGTCCCCATAGCACCAGAGAGCAAACATTTTCTGAAATTCATCTGGCAGGACCGTCCTTGCCAATTCAAATGTCTGCCATTCAGCTCGGCACCATGGTGCTTCATCAGGCATCTGAAACCGGTAATGGCTTACCTACAATCCCAATGTATCTGTTGTCTGGTCTACCTGGACGACATATTGATCTTTTGCAATTCCATCTCCAGACTGCCCACAAATGGAATTCATTGTGTACTTTCTGGAATCACTAGGATTCATTGTGAACAAGAAGAAATCAGCTCTAACGCCTTTTCAGGTGATACAATTCCTGGGATTCAAGATTGACTCGACCAAATGTGTCCTTCGCTTACCCAACTCAAATATCAAAGCCATTCCAGAGAAATCAAGCGTATTCTACGCAAGGACTTCATCCCTCTACAAATCCTGGTTCAAGTGGTGGGACTCCTATCATCATCCATCCAGGTCCGCTTCACTACAGAGCTATGCAACGGCTGAAAGCCCATTATTTATGCACAGGTCACTCTTACGACCATTGGATACCAGTAACACCCAAAGTAAGGACTGAACTCCCCTGGTGGTTACTTCACATGCAGGAGTGGAATGGCAGAGCGATTTTCGGACTCATGCTAGATTTCATTGTGGACTCAGACCATGGGGATGGGGTACCCACTATGCACACGCTTCCACAGGTGGACCGTGGGCCGAAGAAGAGACAAATCACTACATAAACTGTCTGGAACTGATTGCAGGCTCGTTCACGATTCGCAGTCTGGCCAAAGATGTCTCTAATTGTTGCATACCCCTCTGTATGGACAACATATCGGCGGTTCAATACATAAACCTTTTGCGTGGAGCCCGATCCCAGGACCTTACAGAGGCAACAAACGACATATGCCGATTCTGCTTAACCCACAACATCATTCTACAAGCGGAGTACTTACCAGGAATCAACAATCTCACGGCGGACTGGTTCTCTTGACACTGGAGGGACGTCAGCGACTGGAGACTGAACGTCTCGATATTCTGCACACTTAGGTCTCTGCAAGGACAGATCCAGTTGTACCTATTTGCACCGGACCAACAAGCAGTTGGCCGATTCAAGGAGCTTACGCATTCACCACTTACGAATCCACAATATCACTTTGTTATTCATCACTCCCCAAAGGCCGAGTCAAGCATGGTTTCCAGATCTACTGGAACTAACCCAGAATCACCCTCTCATGTTGCCATCCTTACCGCATCTGTTGACAAACACCTAAGGGGAATTACACACACTGGTCCTCCAAAGAAACTTGAACCTAGTGGCCTGGATGGTTTCAGGATATTCTATTCAATCAATGGCTTATCGTAATTAGCTAGGGCTCATGGGTCCCCAGCACTAGGAGCTACAGTGCTGCATGGACCAGCTGGAGTAATTGGTGTCTGGAGAGGGATCTTGATCTCTTTACTGCATCTGTTACCGCCATCTGTTACCGCCATACTGAATTTCATATCCCAACATTTTTTCGTCGGGCAAGTTGTATCGCTCTATCAACGTGACGTGTTTGGCTATCTTGGCGGCTCAGGTTCCCCTACACGGCACTCTTATTGGCCAGATTTCTCTGGTCTGTTGCCTTCTGAGGGGAATTCAATTATCAAGACCACCTACTGGTTGCTATCTTTAGCGGGCGTAGATTCTTCACATCTAGAGCTTTTTTAGCGGGTGCCTTGCTTACAGACATTTTGCGGTCTGCAGACTGGACTAGAGAAAGCACATTCCATGTCTTTTGTTTCCGTCTGGTTTCTTATGCTTCTTTTTCTTTTCTTACACAGCTTTAAAAATGCAAAATACGAAGCTTCCTGTCATGTTATAAAATTGTAGATTATGCTAACGCAGTGTACCTATAATCTTAAGGACAGGAGGCGAAAATATTCCCACCCTCTTTTTCCCCTCCCTGTTTATGGGATTCATTGTTTTTACTTCAATAAAGATTTGAATACATTCGAAGTGTGTGAATTAGGTTATTTTGTGTTTTTTACTATTGTTACACATATTGAGATTAGTGATTATTTTATTTATTAAAGCAGCATTGTTATAGGCCGAATCCTGTGGGTTTTTTTTGTTTGTTTTTAAGCCCCTCCCGACTCTACTACATCTGATTGTCCCCCTATATGCCCCCATCTTACCTATTTTTTTTTATCTTTATTTTCTCCCCGGACTTAGGTCCTGGGCGCCGCCATCTTTGTTTGGGTAGATAAAGTCCCTGTGGGACACGTCATCTGCCCACACTAGATAGCACTGTGAGATACCCGCACATACCCAGTTAAACACTTGGGCATGCGAACGGGAATTTCATCTATTCATTAATTTGTCAGAAAGACGAATAAATGAATAGAAATTTCTAGGGACGCACCGAAATTTCCGTTGCCGACATTTTTGGCCGAAAAAGGGTCATATCGGCCGAAAATTACACACCCTCCCTTCCGCCTTTTGAGAGGGCACAATGCCCGGTTAATAGCCAGCACTATGAAGGGGCACAATGCCCGGTTAGTAGCCAGCACTATGAGGGGGGCACAATGCCCGGTTAGTAGCCAGCACTATGAGGGGGGCACAATGCCCGGTTAGTAGCCAGCACTATGAGGGGGCACAATGCCCGGTTAGTAGCCAGCACTATGAGGGGGGCACAATGCCCGGTTATTAGCCAGAACTATGAGAGGGCACAATGCCCCACAGCCAGTTACAGCCTACATTCAGGGTGCAGAGATCAGACAGCTGAGTGATTTCCGCCGGCAGCTCCTCCAGCTCATGCCCGGACAGATCCAACACCCGCAGGGCTTTCAGCTTGCCGAGAGCCGGGGGGGGGATGCTCTGCAGCTTATTGCGGCACAGCACCAGGCTCTGCACGTGGGAGAGGAGGCCCAGACCGTCTGACAGTTCCAAGCACCCGCTCATCTCCACATGCCCGCAGCTTGCCATCCACAGCCGGACCCTGGAGTACCAGCTCCAGGCGCTTCTCCTTTTCTATCTCCGGTCCGGCCACTGCTCACTGACTGCCGCCACCTTTACCGACAGACCCTCAGACCCAGAAATACTAGAGCGGCCAATCAGAATCTAGCCCCCCTGGAAGATAGGAGGGGGCAAAACTAGCCTGTAATGTGTATCGGTCTGTGACTGATAATCCACTCTAAATACACAGTATGCTCACAGAACACATATACCTCAAGTGCAAAAAATAAATAAGTACTAGCCTTATAAGGCTACTCCTCTACCAAGTTACAGCTGTAAATATCCGTAGAAGACCTCCAAAGTAGTGCTTAAAAACCTAAGTATGTGAGTTTTATTTAAAAAGGCTTGTTTTTAGCACAGAAACTGTCCCCTTGTATACAGACAATAGATTAATCTGGAAGATAGACAAGGAGTTAAAACATAAAATACGTTGGATGTAGCCAGTCTATGACTAGTACCTTTGTCTAGTCTAATGACTTCACTAGACTAGTACCTTTTGGTCTTACCTCCAGTTTCCCCTGGCTACATCCAACGTATTTTGTGTTTAACCCCTTGTCTACCTTCCAGATTGAGCTATTGCATTTGGGAAAAAAGTCCTTTACGGTTTCGGTTTTTAGCCAAGGGCATCCTGAATTTTCAGTTTTGGCCCAGAATTTCCATTTCGATGCATCCCTAGAAATTTCAAACGAATGAACGAAGACCTCTTAGTGTCGTGCAGCTCCCTCCTTGTAAAAATAGAAGCGTCAGGGAGCAGTGCTCCCCGCCACTTCCTAAGCCCCCGATGTCCTCCTTCACTATATTGGGGTCAATATGGCAGCCATAATAGCATAAGGGAGATAAAAATCTCCCGAATGCCCCTACTCGCTATGCCGTGAGTAGGGGCATGTCTACTAAACAGTGAGCAGCTAGTGGCAGCTCACTGTTTAAAAAAAGCCCCCACCCATGAGCGACGGGTAAGGGCCCTAAATGAAAATGGGGAGGACCTATTGTCCTCCCCTCCCAGCCCCCACCCATGAGTGGTGGATGGGGGACCTAAATTAAAATAGGGGGGTGGACCTATTGTCCTCCCCTCCATCTCCCTCCCATGAGCAGCGGGTGGGGGCCCTAAATTACAATAAGAGGGGGGCTATTGTCCTCCCACCCATGGGCGACGGGTGGGGGCTTTAAATGACAATGTGGGGGGGGACCTATTGTCCTCCCCCGGACCCAACCATGGGTGGTGGGTGGGGGCTAAATGTAACCCCCTCTGCCCAGGTAACTCGGGGTCCCCAAGCTCCTAGTCACCCCTCACCTTAAAAATAGTGAGGGGGGAACAATAAAGCTAAATACCTGTAAATAAAACAAACTTACCATTTGATGTCAAAGAAAGAGGAAGTGATACAGGGGAGGGGCCTTTTATACCCTGTTGCAATATGTTTTTTTCACTAAACTTTATTGTTAAATCTGTGTTTAATGCAAAATATTTGCCCCCTGTCCGTAATAAAAAGAAGATTATAGGTGCACTGTGTTAGCATAATCTACAATTCTAGTGAATTCAGGCATAACTTTTTGTAACAGATTATCCACATGTCGATATTTTTTATACATAGATACTTTTAATATATAATACACTTTCTGCAGGTTTATACGGTGTCTTTTCCATTATATTTGAATGAAACTTATTTTGGCATAATATATTTCATATGGATGTGGTCTTGAATATTTATAAGTGTATAAAGAAATGCATATTTTATTGTTTAATAAATAGGATCTGTGACGAGAGCAATCTCGCCACATTGCATTGGAGAAGCCTGGTTGCTCGCCTGTTGCCTTTGGATTATGGCCCCATGTTAAAAGGCTTGATTTTCCCCTGCAAAGACACGAAAGCCGGGTCATTTGGT